CAAGGAAGAAAAACAAGCTTCAAACTCTTAAGGAAGTAGAAACATGCACTCTTCCGAAGCAGAACCAAGGCTCTGCCCAAAATTCAGATTCTGAACCTACTCACAAAGGTAAATTACCATGCATTGACTCATCTTCTAATTTATTGGATACTGAAACTTATGACCAGAACTTAAACATACCTATTTCCATAAGAAAGGGAGTGGGGTCTTGTACCAAACATCCAACTAGGAACCATGTTTCTAGTGAAAAATTGTCGTAGGAGTACAAGAATTTCATCAACTCAGTGGACAACACTCACATTCCTCAAAATTTCCATGAAGTTATCCTAGTTCCAGAGTGGAAGACTGCAGTTGTGGAAGAAATCAAGGCACTAGAAAAAAATGGTACATGACAGCTCTGTCACCTTCCAGATGGAAAGAAGCCAGTTGGATGCAAATGGATATTCTCGGTGAAATATAATGTGGACGAGAGTGTGAACAGGTATGTAAGCTCAAAACTATACGGGTTAAAGCAATCCCCACAGGCTTGGTTTGATAGGCTTACACGAGTGGTTAGGATTCATGGTTTCTCTCAATGCCAAATAGACCACACAATGTTCTTAAAGCATTCAGAGGAAGGCAAGGTAACCATCTTCATTGTTTACGTAGACGACATTATTATTACATGTGATAACTATATTGGAATTGAAGGGTTAAAATTGTTACTAGCTAAGGAATTTGAAGTTAAAGATCCTGGTCAGTTAAGGTATTTTCTTGGAATGGAAGTGACACGATCATAATTTGGAATTTATTTGTCTCAAAGGAATTTATTTTCTGGTTGAGAGACTTATCTACCTAACCCATACACGGCCAGGCATTGGTTTTTCTGTCAGCATGGCTAGTCGCTACATGAACAATCCCAAAGACTCACATGAAAGCACTTAACAGTATTCTACAGCATCTCAAAAAGGCACCAGGGAAGGGGCTGCATTTCAAAAAGGACACAAGCAGGAAAATAAAAATATTCACAGATGCAGATTGGGCTGGCTCAGTAAGTGATAGAAGATTAACTAGTGGGTATTGGTCATTTGTATAGGGCAACTTAGTGACATGGAGAAACAAGAAACAGTCAATGGTTGCAAGAAACAGTGCTAAAGCATAATTTAGGTCAATGGCTCATGGAATTTGTGAAGGGATGTGGCTCCAAAGGATGCTTGCGGAACTACAAGTTCATACTTACCATGAAGTAAGTCTATTGTGTGACAGCAAAGCTACTATAAGTATTGCTAAAAATCCTTTGCAACACGACAAGACAAAGCATGTAGAAATTGGTAGATATTTTATCAAGGAGAAGATTGACAACGTGTTAATTTCTCTTCAGCACACACCCTCAAGTCATCAAATAGCTGATATATTGATCAAGGCACTTTCTATAACCAACTATGAAAACTTAAGATTCAAGTTAGGCATGATAGACATCTATGGTCCAACTTTAGGGAGAGTGTTGATTGTTGATCTGAAACCATTAAGGCACAGATATGCATCCATTAGTAAGGGACATCAATGCAAATTTTATAGTTGTATTATATGAATACATTTATACTTATTTACACAGCCATATAGAACATTTCCATTATTGTATATAGGAATTAATTTGAGTTAATTAGGACTTAATTAGTTTATTTTATATATATATATATATATATATATATATATATATATATATATATATATATATATATATATATATATATATATATATATATATATATATATATATATATATATATATATATATATATATATATATATATATATATGTATATTATATATATATATATATATATATATATATATATATATATATATATATATATATATATATATATATATATATATATATATATATATATATATATAATATACATACATATATATATACATATATATATATATATATATATATATATATATATATATATATATATATATATATATATATATATATATATATATATATATATATATATATATATATATATATGTACAAACTAAGATAACAAATACAGAATTTCTACAGTATCTTCCCTGACGGGTCTGACGTGAGGTAACACTTACATGCGATTATGATGGAGGAACGAGAGACATTGATTTATCGGAGACGTCGGAGGACGGGGGTAGAGAAGGCCAAGGAGTTCAAGGAGCTATAGTCTGACATACGCAGTAGTAGATAGTATTTGTACTTTGGATTTGTTATCGATTGTATTTTATTTTGATTTATTTCGACTATATTAGGTATTTCGACTTCATTGTGTATCGGCTGATGACTTATTTTGACTATCTGGATTTATATATTTTATTTTTTGCATATCGATTATATGGTTTAATTTTAATCACATAACAGGTGCTTTAACATTTATAAATCGTCATTTTCATCTGAATAACCATAAAACTTACTAAACTTTCATTTTTTTTGTTGAATAATGAGAGAACAAGAGGAAAGTTGGATTGAATATGTGTGTGTGAATTACACAGCAGAGCTTATTATATATAATAAGAGGAATAAATGTCATAGTAATTACATAATATTCTATTTCCTATTTAAACAATATCCTAATTACTTACAGAATATTCTATTTACATAATACAAAATATTCGAATATCTAGCATTCCCCCTCAAGTTGGAGCATATATGTCATATGCACCAAGCTTGTTACAAATGTAATTAATTCGAGGACCTCTCAAAGACTTAGTGGAAACATCAACTAACTGATCATTTGAATTGACAAAACTAGTGCTGACGTCTCCAGATTAAATCTTCTCTCTGATGAAATGACAATCAATCTCAATGTGTTTGGTTCTCTCATGGAACATTGGATTTGATGCAATATGCAGAGCTGCCTGATTGTCACAAATAAGTGTGTCATCTGTGAAACATCCCCAAATCTCAGGTCGTGAAGCAACTGTTTGAGCCATATAAGCTCACAGGTTGTTATTGCCATGGCTCGATATTCTGCTTCCGCACTTGACCTTGTCACTACAATTTATTTCTTACTCTTCCAGAAAATTAAGTTACCACCCAAGAAAACACAATAACGTGAGGTGGATCTCCTATCAGAAGGAAAACCTGCCCAATCTGCATCTGAGTATCCTACAACTCGAGTGTGTCCCTTGTCTTTATAAAGTAAGCCTTTTTCCGAAGCTCCTTTAATATATTTTAAGATGTGAATCACAACTTTCCAATGCCCTTCACAAGGAGAGTTAAAAAATTGACTTACCACACTAACAGGAAATGGAATATCTGGGCGAGTAACTGTGAGGTAATTTAGTTTTCCAATTAATCTTCTATATTTTTCAGGATCGGAGAGTGGCTCCCCTTGAGCTGGCATAAGTTTAGCATTGGGATCCATCGGAGTGTCAACTGACTTGAGATTTAACAGTCTTGTCTCCTCTAAAATATCCATAGCATACTTCCTTTGTGAAATTACAACCCCCTATTAGGATTGGGCAATCTCTATGCCCAAGAAATAGTGAAGTCTGTCGGGGGCTTTTGTCTGGAAATGGTCACAAAGGTGTTGTTTTACCTGTGTGATTCCATGATGATCATTACCTGTAATGACAATGTCGTCCACAAACACAATTAAGTAAATGCACCCAACAACTGAGTGACGATAAAACACTGAGTGATCAACTTCACATTGTGTCATACTAAGGATATTTGTATGAATAAAAACTAAATTATCAGTCCTCTTTGGATTGAGTCTATTCCTTTTTAATGAATGAATAAATCCATGTGCTCCAATTTCTCTCAGCAGAAGATGAAAATTTTGGTTGTGAAAGAAATTTTTTATTTATAAATAGAATAATGTACCTAATTTTTACTTAATAAAAAAAGCCAAAATTATACCACCCGAAAAAAATTAAAAAAATTTGGGTACGTGGTACCAAATGTGTACCGGTTAGTGTACCAACTTTAAAAATAAAATAAAATAGGGCTTCGGTGCGTGTTGTACGCGTACCGTACGAGTACAGGTACCCAGTACGTGTCCGGTACCGATACTTTATCTAAAATTGAGTATCCGTGCTTCACATGGTTATGAAGATGCATATTCGTAAATCTTGAATGGAGACGCATCTTCGGAACAAGAAACATGTAAAATAGATCATTATGGGGTGTGTTTTGAAATTTTACTAAGACGCATCTTCAGATCAGTTAACGTTTTGTCTTAAGATAAGTATCTCTAAAATTTGAGGGACATTTTGAGTTTTTTATAGGGTGTTTTTCCATCATATGAAATGAGATAAAAAAATTCCCTAAATTAAACTAACCCCTTTTCTATGATTCATTGTATCTGATTGTTTGTTGCATATAATTTCTTCATCCTCTAACTTTAAGTCAACTGCAGAAAACTCTGTTGTAATTCAAATTTTTATTTAAATAAACCTATTAGACCTTAAGAATAGAGAAAATTTAGATGCTACAGGGAGTTTATTTAATGTGTTTTCCAACAGGCAACAGCCTTCAATTTCATAATTTCCTTCCACTATTCTCTCCTATGTTTTTAAAATAAACAACCGTGTTTAAGGCCATGTGTCCTATTTTAGAGTGAAAAATATAAATATATACTTTATGTCGACACCAAAAGCAGCCAAGGTTGAACTTTCATAATTGCAGTGAATGAATGAAGTGGGATGGTACTTGATGTTTTCAGATTGCTTTCTGAAGGTAGTGTCAAACTGTAGAGTATTAAGTTATTGAGTGGAGATAGCATCATGTATTGGAAAGAAAAGTTTTCTATAAAAATTCAATCAAGAGAATGAAAATGAATAAAGACAAAGTGGGTTGGGGATAATATAATCATGACTATCACATTAAGTATCATTTAACAGAATCATTTTGTCATAGGATCACTTAACTAAATACTTAAAAGTTGTTAGAAGAAAACACATACCTACCACCACCAACATGGTAATGCATTATTGGTGTATTATTTGAGCCCCTGATTCCTCCCCTGCAAAGTATGGATTCCTTCGGTTTGCTGTTTCTACTTGCAACTTTCTCTTCCCTTTTTGTCCAGTGCTCTTCTTCTCCCGTCTTGCAAGCTGCTCTTGATAACAGCACACATGCTTACTATAACTGCACAAAGAACAGCACTTCTGCAACCTATAACACTTACCGTTCCAACATCAAAACACTCCTGGATTTGCTCTCCTCCAAAAGCATTAATGCCACATATTACAACGCCACAGTTGTTAGTGATAACAACGTGGACACTGTCTACGGTCTCTTCCTTTGTACTAGAGACATTGACCTCAAAATCTGCAAGATGTGTGTGATAGAAGCAGCCAAACTCATATCATCACTGTGCGCTACTGCAAAAGAAGCCATAGTTTGGTACACAGTGTGCTATGTGCGCTATTCTGATAATAGCTTCTTTTCCGTCGTTGAGAAAACTCCAGAAATTTCTTTCATGAATGATAATGATTATGTTGGTCAGGTGGGACTCTTCAACAACATTCTTTGGGATATGTTGAACGATTTGAGAAATGCAGCAGCAAACTCTTCTGCTAAGTTGGCTGACAAGTCGGCGAATATCACAGAAAACCAAAAACTATATGCCTATGCTTGGTGCCTCCCATACCTGTCTGCAGAGAACTGCGGCTGGTGTCTTAGCGATGCCATAGCAGAAGTTCCAACCAGTTGCTGTAGAGGAAAATCTGGAGGCACAATATTGTATCCCAGTTGTGGTATTAGATTCGAATTATATCCATTCCACAAGATACACGACAGTATTTCTTGGGTGCCAACGTCACCCATAAGTCCTCGCTCTTTAGCTCCACCAGGTTAAAACTTTTGAACTAACCCTGATATACATTTTCTTAATTTTACTATCAATTTTGACACACTAAGACACCAATCAAGTTATTATCATACCATGTATTACTATTAACCCAAGATTACGATATCTAGCAAGTGACATATTTTCTGTAATAATATGCTTTACTCTGATCATTTGGATCATTATTAGCTTTCTGAACGCACAATAAGCTAATTCATAGAAGACACTAAAATTAAAATTCATATTTTCTTATTGGTTTTTCTTAATGGAAACAGAAAATAACACGAAGTACTGATATTGACGCAGGAAAACAGAAGACAATAACAATATTTGAGATCACTGTTCCAACTACTGTTTTAATGGTGCTTTTAGTCTTGGGATACTGTTGCTTTCTATATAGAAAAGGAAGAAAGAGCAAGCATGATATTCTCAAAGAAAGCTGTAAGATGAAAAAATATACTTCTATTTCAAACAAAAACACGCTTTTCCTTAAGCCATATAACTTACAGAATTCAAACTTGTTTTTGTAGTTGGAAATGACATTACCACTTTGGAGTCCCTGCAATTTGAATTTGCCCAAATTGAAGCAGCAACAAACAGATTTGCTGCAGCAAACAGGATAGGCAAAGGTGGATTTGGAGAAGTCTACAAGGTAAAAATGCATCAACTAGTACTACATAGAACGACGATATCGACTATATTTATTTTCCAAATTGATTTCTTTTATATGTTGTTTAGGGAATTCTTTCAGATGGACAAGAAATTGCTGTGAAGAGGCTTACAAGAAGCTCTGGACAAGGTGCAGTAGAGTTTAAAAATGAGGTTCAAGTCATAGCCAAGCTTCAACACCGAAATCTAGTGAGATTACTAGGATTTTGTTTGGAAGATGAGGAGAAGATACTTATCTACGAGTATGTGCCAAACAAGAGTCTTGATTACTTTTTATTTGGTATGTCATTTCTAAACTTTAAGCTAAAGGCATGTCTTGATAAATGAATTACCTTAATGGATCCATTATGATTCGAATTAGATGATTGACCATTCAAAGAAACTAATAATGTAGATCCCCAGAAGAGAAAGCTACTATCTTGGTCTCAACGTCAGAAGATCATTAAAGGAATTGCCCGTGGAATTCTATATCTCCATGAAGATTCTCGCCTCAAAATAATACATCGCGATCTGAAACCTAGCAATGTCTTGTTAGATAGTAATATGAATCCAAAAATATCAGATTTTGGCATGGCTAGAATTGTATCTATAGATCAAATTGAAGAAAGCACATGCACGATTGTAGGGACATAGTAAGCTTATAATTCCTACTTTACTTTACTCAATTTCTCACATACCTGTTTTACTTAGCAATCACTATCATAGATGCCCACTAAACAAACTTTTTTGTTGTTCATATATAGTGGTTATATATCTCCAGAATATGCGATGCACGGATACTTTTCTGTGAAATCCGACGTGTATAGTTTTGGAATCATGGTTCTAGAGATTATTAGTGGAAAGCGGAAAGGTTGTTCTTCTGAATCAGAGTGTATCGATGACATCCGGAGATATGTAAGCAGCAAACATCTTTAACTTGTCTTTATAGAGTTGAAAGAATGATTTTCTTCATTAACAAATGAATATTGCAGGCATGGATAAAATGGGCATTGCAAACACCACTTGAACTAATGGATTCTAGTATTGAAGGAACCTATTCCCAAGAAGAAGTCATCAAGTACATCCACATTGGTCTTTTATGTGTTCAGGAAGATCCAGATGAAAGACCTACAATGGCAACAATTGGATTCTACCTGAACAGCTCTTCAATCAACTTGCCATCCCCTCTTGAACCACCCTATTTTAAGCGTAGCGGAAATGAAGAAAACACGGCCCCCAACAAAGAATCGGCCAATATTGGTGATTCGACCAACGGAATCACTATTACTCAATTCTTTCCTCGTTGAAACATGGATGAAAACAATCTTCACTGTATAAGTATTATCATCTATTGTTAGAAATCTAAAGTACAGTTGGAACAAATCTCCCAGCGTTTGGAAACAGACAATGTTAAATTATAGAATATACTAGAGAAGATTTACATGTTCAAATCTAAAAATAATTGGCAAAGCCAGGGAATACAAAATAGAACGTTTGAAAACAAGCCATTGTATTGATGGGTGTATGGAAATCTTTCTTAAATTGACAACAACTTAAACAGAAAAAGCAACGTTACTAAATCAGTTATCGAAATCTGTGTGCATGTTTGTAAGAGACATTTTATCAAACAGTTGTGGGGTGTAAAGTAGAAAGCAAATGTAAATGTTGATTATAACCGCAGTTACCAACATTAAAAGGCAATAGAAAGCAGAAATACCAAAGACTAAGCAAATTCCAGATAAATAATTCAGATCAACATTACTAGCTATGGTTGAAAATTTGAATTTTGAGCATGAACCTAAGAATCAGAAGCGGTAGCCACCTATTGCCGTGTCCGAATAGGTCGTAATTCACTCTTAAATATTGGAGATCCTCCAGCAAAGAGACTATTGCAAAGCCATACACTCTTAGCAGCTACAAGTAGAAATAATGCATATACTTTTTTTTGGGACAGTGCAAGAAATAATGCATATACTTTTTTTTGGGACAGTGCAAGAATAACGTTATTGCCCCTCCGTGTTTGGTATTGGTGTAACCATCTTATCGAAATCTCAACAAATCGATCTTAACAGCTTCAATTTATATCAAAATTTTATTAATTTTTATAATATTCACGCGTATAAAATATAAATTATATTATTATTTTTAATTATTTTTTATTTTATTATTTATTATTTAAAATAATAATAATAAATAATAGTATAAAAGACCATTTGTTAAAAAAAATTAAAATTTAAAATAAATATTAAAAATGGTATATTTGAAAGAATAAAAAAATTACACCAAAATCATGTTTTTCCTTTATATATATATAGGTATAGATTATAAGTTAATGTTTATTAAATTTTTAGTTTTAATTATTACAATTTTAATTAAATTAATATTTTTTAAATATTATTATTTTAATTTTAGTTTTTCTAATGACAAATTTACAGTTTTTTCTGTCAAATTCATCTATTAATGTGTACTTTAGTCTTAGAAAATGTGACATATCTTAAATTTAAAAATTTTGATATTTTAAAATTTCTTCTTTGAAATTCCATTTGTATGGCATTAAATTTAACTATAATTAGCAAAGCACCACTTAACTTGCACAATTTTTGGTGTGGGAGGAACTTAACATTTGATATCAACACCTTTAATAATTATAAACTCGTGAATTAAAGAATACATATGACACTTGAAAGAAGCGTATATCATATAGATTAATTATTTAACATTAAAAATGTCTCTATCAAAGTCAATATTACCATTTTAAAACTTAATATCATTTATTGTGTATCAATTTGAAACCTAGTACCATTTTGAATTTGATATCATGATTAGATTCTTAATTTGAAAAATCCAACTTTTACCATCAAGTCTAATAAGTTTTCATAACTAGTTTTATTAATGTTATTATCAAACAATCGCTTCATTCATTGTCAAAAAAGTAAATTGCACATGCATATAAGAAATAAGTATTCTGCAATTTTAACATCATGATTACAAAGAGAGCACCTCAAAATTACATGCATTCTCCTTTAATTAGGTTGTCTTCTGTTGCAATAAAATTGTGTATTAGCTTCCAAGTCATTGATGACTTAGTAGGAAATATGTAAGGATACTAAATGAATTTTGTTTAAGAAAACTCAATGTGATGCCTTCTAATACAGTCGTAGATATCTTTAAAAGTTAGACAACCATTTGCAAATTATGTATAAATTAGTTCTTCAGTAGTAGTATTATCAAATGACAAGTTGATCTTCAAAATGTCTACGATAATTTGAATAGTCAATACGGATAAGTCATGAAGAATGTTTCAACTTATTTCCGAGATAATTGAATTGACCTTAGCAATTTGTATAAATTGAATATCCAATGATAGTACAAGGTATAAATCTTTAATTTTTACTCCAATCAACTTTCAGTCCATAACTTAGTGTCCTTTTTATTGCCAACCTACAATCTATTATGTTCCTCTAAAAAGAAAAATAAATGATTAATGTCAAGTCATATTAAAGAAGAAATATGATGCATGGTTGATTTTTGTGTGCCTGGATTATCTACTAATAAGCATAGAAGACCGTTGATTATTGATAGTCAATAAATCTCAACAAAACGATACACAATCAGCTTTGTTAATTGTTTAATATCTTTCAGACCAAGACCTCTTTCAAACAAATGTGAGAAAATAACCATCCAAGATTTAGTAACTAGATTTCAATTGTCTATGCTGCCTTTTAACACAAAATTTTTATACAAGAGTTTAGTTTGTTAAGAAGATTTATTGGTCATCCATAAATCCTAAGACTATACAGAAGAATGCATTGTATAACAGACTAGACCAATTAAACCATAATCATCATAAAAAGAAGGTGACTCTTCTAAGTAGGTCGCTTGGTCAATACTCTATCTGGTCTAATTAAAAGATGATGAGTTTTAGACTTACCTTTGGCCTCTAAGATTTCTTCTCATTAATGCTAATTTTTCAAAATGATTTTATAATGCCTTTTTTAATACAATATGATTTTTATATCATTCTTTTTATTAGAAACTTGACTATCCTTACCTATTATTTTAGATAAGATTAAATAGTCGGTTGGATTTTAGTCTGACATTTTGTTACAGCCCAAGAGCATATATAAGTCACTTGGCCTTTCCTCTTGTATATTTAGATGATTACCATTCATTAATTCAATTAGTCCAATGGTCTATTTCATCTAATATCCACTTGTAATATGGTATCAGTGAACAAATCAATCCTGAGCCTCTTTCATATTTTCCCATTTCATCTTCTCCATTTTGCATCTAGGGTTCATTTAAAACCCTTCCTCGTCTCTCTTTCTTCACCATGGCTACAAATAGTGCCCTCACATCGAAGAACAAACTCTTTCATTAATGGAACCCTAGTCAAACGTGATTCATTTGATCCCAATGTTGAGCTATGGGATCGAGCCAACAACATGGTTGTTTCTTAGATCAAAAGAACCATATCTCCTCAAATTCCTTAGAGCACAATATGGTTTTATTCAGCTTTAGAACTCTGGGATGATATTTAAGAAAAATTCACCAAAAGTAACTATTTTCTCTTCTCTGACCTCTTGCACGAATTTCATGCCATCAAGCAAGGTGATCGAACACTTTCAAAATAATTTGTTGATTTTAAGATCCATTGGGATGAGCTTGAAGATCTTCATCCCACCCCATCTTGTTCTTGCCTTATCCCTTTGATGCGGTAAAGCAGCAAGCAAAAAATATTAAGTGCTCAGTTTTGTCGTCTCCACAGGGATTAGTGCGATCTGAACGCCGTTTAACGATTCCTACATTTCTAAGCTTATTGTTCAAAAGTTTTGGTTTAAAAGGTTCAGGGAACTATAAATAAAAACATAAATTATAAAATAAAGACTGAAATATAAACGGAGCCTTGTTGGGATTGGATTTCATCAATTGATAACATATGCATTCTTCTGAACAAATTAAACACAACGCAATCATTCGTCTAATATCATCACGTATCACTCACGACAAAGCTTATCTCTAACGCGGCGTCGAGAGAAAAACCATGTTGTCTCATTGGTGATCTCTCACCCAACAAAAACACAACACAGAGCATTAAGATCTGATACTCACGCAAATGCTAAGCCTAAATCTATCTCTAGCGTTTAGGACCTAACCGACAATCATCCTAGATCCAGATCCGAAAAGTATATCTCTATCACGATTCAAATCAAATATTAACAGGTAAACTAGAATGAAAATCATATCAGATAAATAATTATTTTGCATAAAATACAATAATCAGAATACGTACACACGCTTAACCCTTTTTACATGTATTCATCAAATCTGTCAAATGCCGGTGAACATTGTTCTTCACCACTATTATCACATACCCACACAATATCATATTGATCCTACCCATGTTACTCATGCTACTTAATCAACACAACACCATGGAAGATACAATGAATATCAACTTCAAAGTCATGTCAAAAGTTTGTTCATTGATAGAAGAAAATCTGAGATTAAAGATGTGAAATGGTTTTGTCAAGACCCACATACAAGCAACCAAAGATAATCAATCAATAGAGAATCCAAACTAGTTCACAAACATAAATTAGATGAATACATAAGGTATCAAAAGATTACAATCCAAACCCCAACAAGAGATCGAAGATCTTACCTCCTCCCTCTTAGGGTTTGTGTTTCTCTCTCTCAAGAAATGAAGAGAGATGAGTTCTGATGTTCCAAAATGTTACAATACCAAGTTCTCTCCCAAAAATGGAGTTATGACCTAAAAATACAAGAAAATCACTTAAATACACGTTCAGAATCTGTCACGTTCGCTAGGCGAACAACTAGCGAACTGAACTTTTGGCACTTTCAGATCTGTTCAATTCTGGGCTCGTTCGCTACCTGCTCGGTAGGCGAGCTGCTAGCGAGCTGACAGAATTTTTCTACTGGAAGTGTTCGCTGGAGACTCGTTATGCCTTCGCCTAGCGAGTGCTTCACTACCTTTCCTCGCTGCATCTTCGCCTAGTGAGCTTGCTGTTTGTTTGCTTGTTTTCTTGGTTCCTTTGCCCACAATATACTCCCATAAAAGTCGCCCACATGTGTATTAGAAGACACTCAAAAATCACACTAAAAATACCAAAATAGTCATGCCCTAACTTTTTGGTATAACATGTTCTGTAACATGTCACAACATCATGCAGAACATGATGTCTGACTATCATGGCAGAACATCTGGTTCAACATCTTGCTAACAACATGTTGTTTTACCAAATGTAGCCAATCAAAAAAATAGAACTTACATCAATCATTA